GAAAATCTGCTTGTACACAACATCACTGGTATTATCTAAGTTGGAAAATATGTTGAAAAGTGCATCTTTCTAAGGAGGTACATCCAGATACTTTACCACCTGGACCTTCACCTCTTCCAAGTCATGTTCTTGCATCCACTGTCAGATACGTAATCCAAAAGTAGGAATACAAGAGGGACATGCTTAGTAGAACAAATAAAACTGGCTATCAAGCACTTAGTGGTTGGCTGGATGATCAGAACGAGATGCAGTTTTGAAGTAATACTGAAGACACAACTGCTCCCGCCTCAGCTGGAGGATTGGCTCGAAACATTCTACATACAAAATCTGCACAGGAGATGTTCTGACAGCTGAAGAAATTCTCAGAGCTTGGTGGTGAACAGGATCAAGCTTCTTTATCACAGAAGGCCATGCCGATCCATAGGCCACTGATCCATAATCAAGTTTGGAGTGAATAAGAACTCTGTAAATTCGGAGCATGGAAGGTTTATCTGCACCCCAGGAGGTATTTGATAATAATTTCAAAAGGTTTAATACTTTTAACATACCAGATGAGGTTGGAGGAATTTCCTTCAGAATTGCATTTATTTTTTATTTATTAAAAAGAGTTACACTCAATACACAGCCCTGTAGTACTCCCTCTTCTTGGTAAAAGGATTTAGACAGCACAGAATAAATTTTTACTTTAAACAACCTGTCTTTCATAAAATTCAGAATGAAAATTGGAAGTTTTCTCCGTAAGCCATAATAGTGACATGCCACAGCAGTACAAGCATCTTGAGCGAATGCCATATTGTGCATGTCGCTCTGCAACCATCCAGTTACTATAGGTGGAAGATTATCTGTGGCTTGTGGCATTTGCCCAGTGACTCCTGAGCAATTATGAATAGCAATGAGTGATGTGAAATTCTCAAGTAGCATTGTTTCTTGCATGAATGAAGCATCCATTTCCTGTGAAGGGGTTTTAATCCCACAGTGTGCACATGTAACCCCCAAGAAAGGCCATATTATGTGTGATTATATGCTGTACAATACTGCTTCACCATAAATATGCGGGCAAGTAATGTAAACAATTTTTAGTCAGCCCAGACTAAAAATTGTTTACTGACTAAAAAGTAGTAATGACTTTCAGGCGTTATCTGATGAAAGCATCTTTGTTTTGTACTTACTGCATAAAATGTATCCACTTACTATACTTCTGCTGAAAGGAAAGCAATAAATGCTAAAAGAAAAGGTATGGATGTAAAAAGGGAATGTAAAAAGAGGAGCCATTACATATAAGGTAGAGATTACACCACCAAACACAAATAGGTAACCAAAATGAGCATAAAATGCATTCATGCAGTTACAGTACAATGCCCTAAAAGGAGGCATGCCTGATCTATGCGTCATTACGCAAGTGGCAATAGTTCCATGTAATCTAAGATAGCCAAAGTGGAAAGCATGAGCCAAAGACACCATTTGCATGACGAAATGTGCTGGAGACACATTCTGCATGGAAATACTCAGGATGTTGCAAGTTGGTGCAAGACAATCCATTGTTTCAAAAGAGCTGAATGTGAATTGTAGTGCCATTAATAGGCCTTGGAATTGTTACCAAAGGAATCAAAACCCATGTAAAAGATGTGGTCTGGATGGTAGAAGATTGTCTGGATCGTCACAATAGCAGACGATCGCTTCCTGTTGCTATATGTACAAGATACCATAAATCATCAGCAGAACAACAACTCACATCACATCTTCCTGCTGCTGCAAAACGGCCCATACCCCACCAAACTATGTCGCACAGATTGCATAAAAGTGGAATGTATGCCCAATGACCTGTGGTTTGTGTTCTTTTGTCCCCATCGCATATCAGAACATGGCGGTATTACGGTCGCGAACATCGCAGTTGGACACTAGAGCAGTGGGGCCACGTAGCCTTTATGGATGAGTCTCAGTACAACACCTAGAACAATTCCTGAAGGGCAACGATATGTTGAGAGCCAGAGACATGCTATCGGGTGCCAAATATCCAAGAAGCCCATTACAGAGGAAGAGGCTTACTTGTATGGGCTATGATAGCAATGAATGGCCACACTTAACCTCTTCATTATTCCTGGTTGTTCTGCCACAGCCGCCTGATATCACAACAAAATTCTACACTGTGTTGTGCATCCTTTTATCGCTGCAGTAGGTGCTATATTTATGAATGGTAACACATACCTGCATAGAGTCCGAGTGGTGCAGAGTTATCTGGAGAGTGAAATTTCACATCTCCTGTGGCCTGCTAGATCACCAAACCTGAATCTCACAGAGCATTAGCAAGACAAATTGGGATGATGGATAGCAGGTCGCAGTGTATCGTCAGGCACCATCCACGAGCTCAGACATACATTACTACAGAAATGGGTGCTACTGCCACAACAAGCAATCCATAGTGCTATTTGCCAGCTTAACTCATTATTCTTAAGCATGCATTTCAATTAGAGGGTATCATGCCCATTATTAGCGTGATGTTTCCATTGCACATTTGTCCAAACCATATGGTTTTTCACCATGTGATGGTCATGATACATGTGTTTTTGTATGTTTTTGCTTTATGGTTTGCTATGTGGTCTAGTACCACACCAACCTCTTGAATCTATCGCACACATATCCATTAAATAGTTTTTGTTTCATTCTGTGTTTTGCTTTTGTTGCTTATTTTTTTAGCTGGAGTCTATTTAAAATACATACTTATATATTTACTGCCATCATAAATTTCATATGATATATCCACAGCCATTCATCACTTATAGTGTATTTTCGTGTGTTCAAGTATTTTCTTTATCATAAAGCATTTCCAACCCTATTTTCTAACTAAATATCTCATTTAAAATCCATTAAGTAGTGGTAATGGAATTAATGGCACATAACCTGAAAGAAGATTGCAATGCACTATGACATTAAATTGCATTGGCCATGCACTGGCATTAAATTTCAACACATTACTAAAATATAGGACTGATCTTTAAAAAAAAAAAAAAAAAGAAAGAAAAAAAGAAAGGAAGGAAAGAGCCCAAATGAAAGATGAAAGACTACTTTAATGACAGTTAATGCATGACACAGGATGAATAAAACAGCAAGTATAAAAAAAAAAAGGTAAAATATCAACACATTAAAATACTGAGCACATCTAATGAAACAGCATGAACCACATTATACTAAATAGTAAAAAACCAGCGTCTTAAATATTGAAAGCAATTAAAATTAAATGCTCAAAATCTTTATAAAGATTATTAAAATATTTCAAAACGAAGATTTAAAACAACAGTACTCTGTTAAACTATGAAGCACAAAAAGAATAAATTGCATTTTGAGCAGATAGCGTCACTCTTAGCTCTCAGAAAGTAATTGTAGCTTGAAAAATTCTGCATGAAATATAATAAACATAATAAAGGGTACTGTTCTGTTATTGGAATTTGAGTCAGTGCAAATGTTTTACTAAACTTTCCAAGAGATTGGTTCATTTGAAGTCACTAATGTTTACTCTTTAAAAAACAAAAGAAAAAGTAAGAGAATGCATTTTTCAAAACTGGCAACTAGAATACAAATTACGAGGGTTGGAACTTTAATAGTGGCAACTATTTATTTACAAGGAATACAAAAGTGATTCATGTCACCATCTTTACAGTCCTTCAATATAGTCGCCAGCATTGTGTACAACCCATTTTCCAACGATGTGGAAGTGCAGAATACCTGTAGCAGCGCTCTGTTTGATATTTGAATGGAGGTCTAATGCGCAAGAATCTCAGAACAGTTTGGAAGCGAGTGCCCCGAAAGGGTTCCTTCATCTAGGAATTCATAGTCACAAGGGCTTAGATCTGGGGATATGGTGGATGGTTAAGCAATTCCCAGCCTATCACTTGAACAAATCAATCACAGCTGCGCTGCATGCGACGAGCATTGTCATGCAAAATGAAAGGAGGTTTCTGCAGAAAGTGTCGCCATTTTTTTCTCAAAGCGCTCATAGAGTGCTCCAAAACGAGCAGTAATAATGCGCAGGACGGTTCTGTGGGGGAACGGTATGCGTTAGGATGACACCATCACAGTCGTACATGAGAATCACCATAACTTCACATGCGGGTTCTGACGAATTTCGAACGTCGTGGTGACCGTGATGACGCCATTCGTTTTGATGGCGTTTTGTTCTGGCTGTACAATCAGCTCAGTCTCATCCAGCATATGATTGGTGTAAAAAACGATCCTTCGCGCTCATAGCGCTCAGGTGGGTTCGGGCAGACGTATCGTAGCCATTTCGCATTCCTCAATGATGTGAACCCATCGTGAAGCAATTTTCTCATGGACAGGCGTCCTTCAGAATGTGCAGCACAGTCATATGCGCTAATCCTGTTTGTCGCCAGCTACGAATCGTTTGGCGGTGATCATTGTCTATTAGTGAGGCAACAGCTTGCACATCTGCATCGCTGACTCGGACGACACTGGCCGCAGCATGTCTGCCACGTTTTGTGTCCTTCATTGAATGCTTTCACCCATCTGCTACGGTCGTAAGGTAATGCAGATTCCCCGCAAGCTCTTGAAGCCCTTGATGACACTGTCGTGCTGTACGACCTCTGCCACATTAAATTTATCCACATCTTTTGTTCTTGTTTTGAAAACATCCAGACAACACTTACTTTAGACCGTGAGCTAATACAGGATCCGTCTTCGCGTCACTCCGCATGCGCGTGACGTAGGCAGGACGAGTCTTTTGCTGACAGATAAGGTAGGTATGTAGTTCACGTGTGGTATACGCGATATTCTTTGGTTTTGCTGCGTAGCGTTTTTTTCAGCTGTGTTGCCACTATTAAAGTTCCAACCCTTGTATAAAGACATAATTTCCCAAATTGTCAGCTTCTGGCGATGTTTAAATCCGGTTTCAATTACAGAACAGTACCTACTAAAGTATAATGAAAATACAATGCATAATAAATATAATAATACTATAGATTTAACTAAATTATGTAGAATAATTATACCTTTGCAGATATTCCAGGAGAAATATCAGTGAAAACTAATTTACAATTTAAAAAACCTTGAAGTTCTGGATCTTTTGATAAGACTTCATCAACTGGTTCACGAACTTCTATCATGGGTGGCATCTGTAACTTTAATTTAGCTCTGTAGGCAGCAATATTCTGCAACTGAAATATTTCATGGTAATTATTATCAAGTCTAAACATTACAAAAAATATACACATTTTCGTTTCAAGGAAGGTAGAAAAGGAGTGCTTTTCATAAATTATGATAAAATATTAAACACTTTATACTAGTTAAAATATTTATATTTATTAACGTCAAAATCATATTTATTTTTTCATTTCATTATAATAGGATCCAGGATCTAATATGCAGCAGTACGCAAAAAGTGGTAGCACTTGATTCACTGGGGTTAGACCAAGGATGGTGTTCATAATTAACACAAAATCATCTGAAAGCAGTTAAAAAAACACAGCAGATAGGTATACCCACAATATAATAAGCAGTAAAATACTATACGCAATTAACTTTTATTTTCAAGCAGTTTAATCTGGAGAATACATTTGTTCAGTTCAATTTAAATCCACATTCATAATCGCCTCTCTATTGCTTGGGCACATCTACATAACTTCTTACTCTCACAGTTTCCTCCTATTTCTGTTTCTTCTTCATACTGTGATGCACGTACTGCTTGTTTTTATTTGCATCATTCTTGTATTTCAGTAGGAATCAATATGAAACAAAGGATTAATGGCTGTACCTTATTAATTTGAAAGGATTTATTTTTGAGACCTAGCAATTAATTTTTAATGAATGATCTAACAATATTTATGTATTTTGGATTACATAATTTAATTACACATTGTTGGGAACAAAAAATTACACAAATACTCAAATACCACATCATCAGTTGTCACTGTTGTTAGCCCATGCATTCCTCTTCCCCCCTTCTTTTTTCAAAAAATTTTCTGGATATTTTCTGACTATTCACACCTCATAAACAATTGCAAATTCATGGTGCCCTTGTCAAAATCATATGTTTAGCCATTTTTACATTTAACAGGTACTGCTTGTTCTCTTCATAAATAAAAGCAAAAAGGATCATTTTACAAGAACAAAAAATTTTATAAGCAAAAACAAAAACCTACAATGAACAGCCGAAACATTACAACCACCTAAGTAATGCAGTGCATGACCTTTGGCCTGAAAAACAATTGCAATTCTCCTTGGAATGGATGCCACAAGTTCTTGGTAGACGACTAGAGACAGGTTGTACCAAATGTCTAAGCAGTGGTCATGCAAAGCCAGGATATCCCGAAATGGCAGTATTTGAGTTCTCAGCTGCCACTCCATAAGATCTCAAGTGTCTCTATCTGGTTAAGATCCGGGAAGTTAGGTGGACCAATGGCGTAGGAAGCATAACTGGCGCCTGGGACACGATGACCTTTTTGGTGCCCCCTTCCCAAAAAAACATAATAGAATATACTCGTAATAAGATTATAATACAAATAATATACTCGCAATAAGAATCTAATACAAAATGCAGTGTCATTATGAATAGTCACTACCTAACTGCACTTATACAAAATGCGATATAGTTTTTCGGGCTAAATGGTAAGCAGATTTTTAGGACAACAGGCTCAAGTTAGGCTTTAAATTTAAAACAAAAAAATCTAGTAAAAAAAATTGAGACTAGCATTAGGAAATGTCTCTATGCCAGTGGAAAAAAATCAGACATACGCTCATCTAGAATTATTTAAAAAGATATTATTTATTTTACATAGTTATATAACTGTTTTCTTAAAAACACACACTTTTAAACTATAAAAATTATATGTATTATATAAGTATATACATTTATAATACTAATATAATATTACATTACATTAACACAATTAATTACTTATTTATACATTTTTCTTGCCTTTGATGAAGCAAATTTATCAATTACTTCATCAAAGTAGATCATTTCAAATTTTTCTCTTTCCACATGCTAGTTCACTTAAGCAATTTTGTTCCATCATTGATCGTAGATGTGCCAAAATTAATTTTAATTTTCTGAATAAATGCTCACAGCTAGCAAATGATATTAAAATAGTAAGGAGTATTTGAAGTGTGACTCTCAGGTTTGGAAAAACATCTTTTCATACGAGATTATAAAGGTAAGAAGTTGTAATGGAGTTTCATGTTTAGTTTTTTTCTACTGAGGAATAACATCTTGCAGTCACATATTTCGACATAGAGTTCTGTTCCATTACAATCTGTATTATAAAATTCATCCAAATTTTTATAATTCTTTTCAAAATCGTTACCAATATTATCCTTGTTCAATAAATCTTCAGCATTCAGCAAACATCCAAATTTGGAATTAAGATCACTTAGTCATATAGATTGTGCATTATTTCCTGCTGTAGATGATCAGGAATGCTTTTTATCAGTCGAGAAATTTCACTTTCTGCAGAAAGGCCAACATTTCTAGCTAATTCTCCCAGCAGTTTTCGGCATCTTTTAACACAGATTGTTGTATCAATACCCCATTTTTCACAAAAAGACTTAGCCTTTTCTATTGCCTCTTCACAAAGCTTGTCTGAAGTTTAGTCGCTAAAGATTCAAGATATTACACTGCTAAAATTCATTTTAGAATCTTGTAATTTGAGCTGCACACAATTAGCTCTCCCCAAGAGTTCATGCCTTAAATGGACTTAAGTTATGAAATTAAAATTCAGTGTATTTTGAATTAAATTGTAGCTTCATTTTTGGTGTCACATTTAGGGTAGAATTGTCCTCTGCTAATTTTTCTAATAGTTCTACTAATTTTTCCAGCCATCGACACAGTAACACTAACCGCTTTTGCTATGGCACTCCATCTTGTTTCAAAATCATGTTTAACAGTTCTCTTTAAAGCATTTCTTAATTCCCATTGTATTGTTGAATATGAGGAAAAGAGATATATGTTTCCAATTATTCCAAAACAAGTTACAACAATTAGATTTTGCTTAGCTGCTCTAACCCCTACTAAATTTAGTTAATGGTTATCACAGCTTACAAATAATGCTTCATTGTTTTCTTTCCATAATTATTTGTTGAACGCCAGATATGTCACCTGACATCATGGCAGCGTTATCTTAACACTGTGATCTACAGTTTGTCAATGAAATCTTATCAAAATTTAATTTTTCTAAAAGTGTATCTTCAATTGAGGCTGCATTTCATGTATTTCAATAAATCCCAAAAAAGATTCTTGGATAGAGAGCCATATCAAGAGAAGAATTAAATAAAAGTTTATAATATTCATTTTTTATGTCACTTATTAGTTATTGATTGTAGTTTGGCAGCCGAATTAATAATAGTTCAAAGTCGAAGGGCATAAGATAATAAAAGACTATAATGTATTGTTTGTTATCATTTTAAAATAACAAACATGAGCTGTATGTGCATTACGTTTTAAAAAATAAAAATATTTCACTATTGGGGGGGGGAGTATTTAGAAAGAAAGATGAATGTTTTGCATATGGAAATATTCGATTGAATTACTGCAAACATTATTTATAACATATTTTGTCAGACAATTATATTTATTTATACAAATGCCAGACATTTGGCCACTAAGCCATTAGTCTTGATCTTGCTT